ACGATCTGCTCAATTACAATATTGCATCACCAAATACGATACCTTCTTTTCTCTTTGGAGTTATCATTCAGAACTTACCATCAACCATAAAATTGTTGTATCCCACGTCGTGCTCAACACTCCAACGCTCCACCAAAATAACAATGGACTCACAGCCCAAAAATATGTATGATGGACAGTTTAATAATATTTTGAATTTTCGTGATGTTGGGAAAACTATCAATGATTTCTTGGGACAAAAGTATGTACCTAGCTCCATAAAAACCATCAACAGATTGGAACTGATCTTTACCTTCAAGACTTATCAAAGAAGGACGAATATATCGCTCTGCAAGGCCAGGTGTGTACATATTCACCAGGCTATGGGGTCATAACTGCCATATCCAGGACATCGGCGAATCCAAAGTGATGAATGCTGGCAAAAACGAATTATGTTAACGAACTTACCTGGTAGATGATGCTACGATGGCAGACAGGCAGCGGATCAAAGATCATTATGGCATCAAAACCATATTGGACCTGCGAACAGTGTAAGACATCTAGCTATCAATTATCTATCCTATCTAATCATGAGTATCACAGAACAGAACATGATAAGCAAGCAAAGAAGCGGGTAGCAGATATGAGAGACCCGGTTCTCATAGAATCAAACAGTGCACTAAATGAATCGATGAAGATACCAGGAATCAAGTATCTTGAAATTAATGTGAATGGGAAAGGGTTTGAGAGAAGTTTAGTATGGCAATTATCACCTTATAGTATCATGTATGTTTTGACTACTCTTGTCCAACATTGGGAGCTGACCAAGGCATATAGAAAATTGATCGGTCTGATGGGTTTGGGATACCGTTTGGAGGCCATCGGTATTCTAGGGCGACAAGTCTTGCAACCCAGAGGACTTATAGGATTGGGATACGATACGATACATCATTGTGGTCCAGAACTAGCTGCAGTAAATCATTATCAGCCTTTTATAAAACAACACATCTAACATATCCCAGGTTCTCAGGACTTACTCTTCTCCGGAAAATTATCCAATTCTTGCCCATTGTACCCAAGGAAAAGATCGTACTGGGCTTACCATCGCCTTGATCCTATTCATCCTCGAGATACCCATAGAAGCAATATCACATGATTATCTCATGAGTGAAGAGAAATTACTTCCTGAAAGAGAGAGTCGATTGAAGGAAATCCATGAGATTGGTCTAAGTGATGATTTTGCAGGATGTCCTGTGGATTTCATCGAGAAGATCTATGAGTATCTAGAGAACACTTATGGTGGTGTTGGGGATTATTTGACGACGATTGGTTTTACGGAGGATGAACGAACGGCTCTCGCAAAGGAATTAAAAGCATAAATGCGGATAGAAAAGGATGTACTTTTGGATTGGACCTATAGAGGATGTCAAAGAGGGTGAGTGTACACTAAAGTTAATGCTACTAATTCCAAAGGCAGAAAACATTTATACGATTTTCATTTTGTACGGGCTGTGTATGATTGAACGTTAAAGAATGTCCCGAAGCATTCGCAACGTACAAAATCAAAATTATAGACTCCAGAATCCGAAATTGCAGAATGGGTCTTGTAGTGCTTGATATACTTGACCACCTGCAGGTTGCAGGTTACCGAGTAGATCAATTAAATAACTTTGTACATCAACCCAGAATAAAGATTTTGATATGCAAAATCCAAATGAGACCGTTGAAAAAAACATCCGTAATGTCCGTACATGGAATATAAGCTGGTCGGTACTCGTAATCACATCCACGCTCAGTGTGGACGGAATTCTGTGTATATCAAATTCCAGCAGCTTTTTCAAGGTTAATTATTAACGTGGTTTATCAGCATGTGGCCCATATCAGCATGTGGCCCATTTCATTTTGTATACAAAATTCGTTTCTGTATAACCGTACACTTTCTTTATTAGTCAATAGAATTTTTCAAAAATTTATTATATAAAACCTTATTTTTCAAATATTTCAAAAATCTAATTGTTTTCTCAAAATTCTAATATTTATCAAAGTTATTAAAGAAAAAGAGATTTTGTAATATAAAGTGTGATAATTTCGAGCTAAAATAAATTATTTAAAAAAGAAATCTAAATATTATAAATGTTTCATTTTTATTATGATCTTTTATGATTTTTTCTTTTAAAATAATAATTAGTTATTAAAATATAGATATTAAAAAAACCTCAATTTTAGTGTATTTTCGAAGTGGATCACATACTGATATAAGTTATATACTAATAAACCACGTTATTTAACGTGGTTTATTATCGAATAGACTATATCATCAAGTAGGCCACTTCAAAATACATCAAAATTAATGCTTTTTTAATATTTTTATTTTAATAATCAATTATTATTTTTTAGAAAAAGATTAATATAAAATAATAATAAAAATTTAGCTCTTTATAAATCTAGTTTTGATATAAGAATTTCTTTTATATTTAAAAAAAATTTGGAATTTGTTACGATTTTTATTATAAAAGAAATATTTCTATAATAACTATTATAATAATTTGAATTTTCAATAAATAATTAGATTTTTATATTATTTATATAATTAAAATTTATAATTTTAATTTTTAGAAAATTCTATTAATAGATAAAGAAAGTACATAATTATATACAAAATTCGTCTGTGTGTAATCATGCACTTTCTTTATTTATTGATAGAATTTTTTCAAAATTAAAGCTATGAAATTTAACTATATAAATATTACAAAAATCTAATTATTTATTAGAAATTCGAATTAATATAAGAATTATTATTAGAAATATTTTTTTGTAACGAAAATCATAATAATTTTCACTTTTTTTAATATAAAATAAAAACATTTATATAAAAACTAAATTTTTAGAAAACTAATCTTTTATTATTATTATTCAATATTTTTTTTTTCTAAAATAATAATTAGTTATTAAAATACGAATAACGTAGTTTATCAGCATGTAGGTTATATCATCATATAAGCCACCCCTTTTTGCATACAAAATTCGTCTATGTGTAACCATGCACTTTCTTTATTTAATAATATAATTTTATAAGATTTGAAAATTTGAAAATTTAATTATACAAATATTATAAAATTTGAAACATTTATTGGAAAATGGAATAATTATAATAATTATTATAGAAATAATATTTTTGTAACAAAAATCATAACAATTTCCATTTTCTTTATAAAATAATAGGAATTTTTATATAAATACTAGATTTATAAAAAGCTTATTTTCTATTATTATCTTTTGTTCTTTTTTTCTTCAAAATAATGATTAATTATTAAAATAAGAATATTGAAAAAGGATTGATTTTGGTGTGTTTTCAAGTGGCCCACATACTGATATGGCCTATATGCTGATAAATTACGTTATTCAAAAAGTCTTAATTTTGATGTATTTTGAAGTGGCCCACTCAATGATATAGCCCGTTCGATGATAAACCACGTTATTATTATTATTATTATTATTATTATTATTATTATTATTATTATATAATGTTGTAAAGAAAGTGTTGTTAAAGAATCTTTAATTTTAGGTTCTGAAATGTATATAGAATTCCGTCCACACTAAGCTATGGTTATGAATACAATAAAGCTCATTATTATTAATATGATTCATATACGAATGGATCATATCACCGAATGGATCACTTCATTTTATATACAAAATTCGTCTGTGTGTAACCGTACACTTTCTTTATTTATCAATATAATTTTTCAGAAATTAAATATATAATATCTAATTATATAAATAATATAAAAATCTAATTTTCATTTCAAAATTCCAATTAATATAAAATTTAATTGAAAAAGAAGGTTTTTGTAATATAAAGTGTGACAATTTTAAGCTATAATCAAAATATCTATAAAGAAATTAGAAATTAGAAATATTTCATTTTTATTATTATTTTATATCCTTTTATTTTTCAAAAATAATGAATAGTTATTAAAATAGGAATATTAAAAATGACTAATTTTGGTGCATTTTCAAGTGATCCATTCGATGATATGATCCACTCGCATATGAATCACGTTATATAATTCGAAACGCTCGTGTTCAAATCATTAATCAAATCAGAATGAATTGTCTCTGCCAGTATGTCACTCGCGGGTTTGTTGATGGACACGATGTGATTCGATTCGATTTTATACCTTTTTCTATTGGAATTGAGGTTGTACTGATGATATTGATTTCGTTGTGGAAAATGGCAAGTCTTCTTTCTTTGTAGAAGTCTCAAGATCAGATGGATATATTACTCAGAATACAACCCAGATCCAAGCATCCATAAAGTAACGATAAATACCTATCAATCGCAAGACAATCTATATCCAGCAGATTCCTCCCTCAATCCTTCCACATTATATCACTCGTCGTAAATCTCCTAATTCCTCGGCACCATCATTATCACCCCTACGTACCCGTACCTCCCTACTAGCACGCCATCTCAAAAACAAATCAAGCCTTGCCCGAGAATGGAGAATTGGCATAAACTCATAACGTAGTACCGGCCCCATAATATCCCCTTCAGGATCCTGAAACATGGAAACAAGTTATGTGAAATAAGTATTACCTTACCCCAGGAAACGGATTCCAGGATTCTTCCCGCGATGTTAATGTATTTCTGCGAATCTTTGGTAGGCATGCTGCTTGGAGGGAAATGTCGGGAATGATGGGATCGTCGTTTGTTTGGAGTCAACAGGGCTGTGGAGGCAATCCACCAGGTGGACGTTGATGGGATGGATTGATTGTATGTGGAGGAATCTATATGTGAGGAGGAGTTCTTCCCATCTTCTTGTCCGAATAGTTTTGGAAGCATCTGCACAGGTTTGCATTCGTTCGTTTTTGAATACAGTTCGTCTTTACATTCATTCATTTGTTCATTTTTGCTCGCTTTCACATCCGTCTACAATCTCTCTCTTTTCCACATTTGTCTATCAGAGTTTTGATCACCTTCTTTCCATTCATACACAGTTTACGCATTACCAAACAAAATGAAATTCACAACCACAATTGCCCTCAGCGGCCTCATCGCTTCCTCCCTCGCCGCTCCCTCCCGTCCAAATCAAGCACGCGGTCACCGCGGCCACACCCTCCAAAAGAGTCAAAAAGCAGGAGGATTTGCCCAACCCAGCGTTGGTTACCCAGGAGGGTTTGGAGGCCAACAAGGTGGTCGAGCAAGACCCACCGGTAGCTACGGTGCTGCCGGATCCAGACAATCTACTGGTGCTATAGCATCTCCGATCGTCGCAACACCTATTGCATCCAGCGCCGCAACTTCAATTGCCTCATCTGCCGTCAACAACATTGCAAGCTCCTCCACAACATCCGCTCCCACCCCCGCCGCTACCGCGCACGTCGACGACGAATACAACGTCTCCTGGGCGGGCGCCGTTCTCGACGACGGCGGCTCCACAATCTATACCGGCGTGTACACGGAATTCGTGGTGCCCATTCCCAAAAAGCCTACGCGCGGCGAGACCTCCGCCGAAATCTGGACCGTCTCCTCCTGGGTCGGCATCGACGGGTACAAGCAGAGCAGCGAGTGTGCGGGACTCTGGCAAGCAGGCGTCGACGCCTCGATCGACAGTTCCGGAAAACTGTCCTACGATGCCTGGTACGAATGGTATCCCGCCAACACCCTCGGCTTTGCGCTCACCGTCACGGCCGGGGATACCATCGCGGTGAATCTGACCTACTCGTCGTTTACAGAGGGAACCGTCACGATGGAGAATAAGTCGACCGGGAAATCCGAGACCAAGACCGTGACCTCGACTGATCAATTGTGTGGACAGGCTGCTGAGTGGATTATGGAGGATTTGAGCATCGATGGATCGACCATCGGATTGGCGAACTATGGAAACGTGACGTTTAGTAATGCGTATGCCACTACCAAGGAGGGAAAGAAGGTGGGCCCCACCGGTGCGAATATCATGGATATTGAGACGACTTCGAAGGAGATCTTGACGAGTTCGTCGATTACTGAGGACAGCGTTATTGTGGCTTATGTTTAAGCGTATGGATGTAGAGGTGGATGAAGAGGTGAATGTAAGATATTCAAACAATCTTAAAGTTTGGATATGAGATTGATCATGATACTGGAAGTTCAAAACCATAATGCCTGGAGCATTTACTGGTTACAACTCGCAATATCATTTATTCTTTGTATATATATAAAAACGCTTTAATATCGAGTCTAATCTAAAACTCTGATCTATGGATACAACCCAAAGTAACGCTCGCTAAAGATTCCAATGATCCTACTCCTACATGCTGCAAACAAAGTATCCCCAACATCTACCATTCCACGCCCGCTTGATGAGTCGATGAAACAAAACATATTATTCCAAACTCATCCCCAAGTACGAGCCCACATGCTACTAGACAGCCCCGGCAATCTTCGCAAATCCTCATCTACACTCGTTTCTCTACTTCTTGTCGTAGGTAGAGTCTCGGTACTACTTTCATTTGCCGATTCACTTAACACCCGTGATCTGCTCGAATCATCCAATGGCGACAGTGGTCTCATGGTACTTCTCCACTCCGCTCTCGGCATTCCAACTACCGTTCCCAAGCCCATGGCGTGGCCCATTGCTCTCACAATCGTATAATCATCATCTGACTCAGTTCTACCTGAAGCGTTATTATCACTACTTGTTGGCTCTCTCATTTCTGCTCTTGGCATTCCAATCACAGATCCTAGACCCGCGGACACTCCTACCGCTGCAGCTACAGAGCTAGTAATTCTCCTCTGTCTCCTAGACACTCTTAAATCATACCGACTAGTATAATCCCAGTTGCGCCATGAAGGATCAATTGATGGTCGAGTAAGGTGAGAAGTTTGATTATCCCTGGGTCGGTGTGTCAAGTCGTAAGTCGTGATATTGGCATCATAAGTGCGGCGTATAAATCCCGGCTCAACTACAGTAGAGGTAGGTGTAGCTGGGTGACCATGTGTAGTAGTACTAGGTCTAACCGGAGGTGGGCGAACACTAATCTGATTCATTTCCTGGGCCACTAAGTTCCCAGCCTCGGGCAAAATATTGTTCAAATGACCGAATCTAGCATTCCATCTTTGTAGTTCAAATGGAGAGGTGATCTCAATACTGTTAAGAGATACTGATCGAGCTATAGGAATAGGTGCCATAAGCTGCATATTTGCGGGGCTACTCTGCGACTCGGTGGAGTGGGAACGCTGTCTTTGTTGAGCACGTTGGATCGATTGCGGTGGATCGAGGGGGAGAATCCTGTTGCGGCACATGGGACAACTATCCTCCTGGACAAGCCAATTTGCCAAACAGATATACCCAAATTTATGACTGCAAGGCGTGACGACTATGGAACCTCCATGTCCGCCATCAAAATCCAAGGAATCAGAGCAAGAATCGTTCTCATCTGCATCAACTTTGACTTTTTTGACTGCAGAAGCTCGTTAGCATGATTGTATAAATGTATCTAAAGATGGAAATCCCCGCACAACTCTCGAAACAGATGGGACAAGGGTCGTCTTCATCTTCATGATCCGTTTCCCATTTTTGCAAAGCGGCTACAACCTTGGTAACCCGAAGATTGCTATTCGATACTGTTTGGCGACGTGTTTGAGACATTACGATTGGAGTCAGTGGTGTTGCTTGTTGTACGGAAGATTGAATGTTGCCAGCCATATCAAAATCTAGGAAGGTGGTTTGAATTCAGATATTCCTAAATGTTATGAATGTAAGAATGCTGTTTCTGACTCTCTCAAGCTAGTCTAAAGAATGTAAGATACTTTTGAATAAGAGTATGATCAAAAAGATTGTGAAAAGACAGTGTTTGGGTGAAAGATATGTAAATTGTAGAGATATAAAAGTGGCGAAGAGTGTAACTGCCTGCACCTTCCGAGTTGAAGACCGATGCATCATGGTTGCCATTTGGCTTCACATGTTGCACTTTCCCTATCTCGAATCTTATGAGAATATAACCATAGATGTTGTCTTGATAGTAAAGACATCGATGAATGATAAGAAATAAAGTGTACACCAAGACACAAGCTGGAAAGACTGCCCGTTTGTCAAATTTGAAATGAGACATTCAAATATATTACTGGTTTCTTAAGAAAATAACTAGAAGAATGTCTAACAGTTTGTTTCTAGATTACCATCGTTTTCCCATAACGAAATCTTTCGAACAACATTGCTTGGATTGGTTCACTGAACAGTAACTCTCACTCAGAGCTAGGTATGTTTGATTTTGGAGTCTGGTTTATTAGGTCCCTCACATGGCAGCATCACAGATTCTTGGACTATAAAAATAGTCAGAAGGTCCACTTGAAATAATATAAATCTCCAATAAACGCATAACAACGAGAAAGTTTCAAATGTGCTTGAAAGTCTTCTTTATCCTGACCATCAAACCAACACTGAATGTGATATTTTCCATGTCCGATATTATTGAGCGCCAATGATGTAACGATGTTCAAAAAAATAAAATTATAGTCCATACCAAACTCAACATCAACAAACCAATTTAAAGATTTCGGGATTCTTTTGATTTGTGTGTTGAAAGAAAAGCGTCGATGCAGCACCAAGACTATCTGCGAAGTAAACCCATCCCCTCCCCTCCCATCCATCTCAATCTTCCCAATCTGATTTCCAATAATCGCATTTCCATTGCATCCTCACACTATGCATTTCCAATCACACATAGGAAAACTCCACAACACCCACGATAAACAAACCTCACAACCTATAAAAAGTCTTCGAAACACAATGCATATAGACAAACATGCGGGGTAAATCGCGTGCTGCATGAGGGGTAGACAATATGCGATGGAGATTGGTGAGATGGCCATGGGATATATGAAGTGATTTTGATAACCGTTTTGAAACAACGGAATGAGTGATAAGAGTTGATGATACAATATCCGGGTATTGATGATGTTAGATGTATTTATATCGTGCTGGGTTGATGATGCCGGAAGCCGCTGTGCATATATAATACGGGAGTTCCTCATGTGTACCAGATGTTCTTGTGATTAGTATATAGATTGATAAATCTTCTCCTTATAAAGCTCGGAATACTGCAATAAAGTACTAGACAACATAAATCATGGCTCCATCAGCAACCCAAGATCTTGCCATTCACCCCTCAAGCGCGACCAAAGATCTTGCTGCTCCTTCCAAAGCTACCTTACCTCTTCCCTCAAATGCAAGAGCAAGATTAGAAAAAGCCGGAATCGATCTCTCAGACGGATATCCTACTCGTCCAGGTCGTCCCTTATATCGTATGTATTTATTCTTCACCTTTAACCACCATTTAGAACCATGAACCCAACTAATAATCCCTCCTGCAATAGTCCAAGACGTCCTCGCTATCCGCAACACACCACGAGAGCACCACGATGCTGGATCCCGGGCTGATAAATCAAAGAAGAATTTGTTTGATGCTATCCACAAGAATAACGGAAAGATAATTGACTTGACCAAAAACATCGGAACCGAAATAAGTGGTATTCGTCTCGATGAGTTGACGGATGAGCAGAAAGATGAATTGGCATTGTTGGTTGCAGAGAGAAGTGTGGTCTTTTTGAGGGGTCAAGAAGGACTGAGTCCAAAAGTACAAAGAGATTTGGGAACTTGGTGGGGTGAAGTTGAGGTTCATGTATGCTTGTTTTATATTTTTGTTTGTGAAGTGAGAATCGAGATAGGATGTGTGCTGACGATTCGACGTATAGCCGCAAGTTCCTCATGTGCCAGGACTTCCTGGTGTGACGGTGATGTCGCCTGCCTTGCAAGCCAGTGAAACCTCGAGAAAACCTGATTTCAGAAATCCAGGAGGTGCGAGTCGATGGCATTCGTAAGTTTCTTCATTCTTCTCTTGACTCACTCGAGGCGATCGCGAAGACAAGTCACTGACATGAAAAACAATAAAGAGATTTGGTGCACGAGCTTCATCCCGCAGGAATAACCCACATACACAATGATACCGTTCCAGAAGTCGGAGGCGACACACTTTGGGCATCGGGATATGCAGCTTACAGTAAACTTTCTCCTGAATTCCGCAAAATCATTGATGGGAGACAGGCCATTTATGTTTCGGCGCATACATACCTCGATCGAGATGATCCGACTGCTGGACCAAAACATATTGAACGAGTTCATCCTATTGTGCGTGTACATCCAGTGACAGGATGGAAAACATTGTGGGTGAACAGGGCAATGACAAAATCGATTGTCGGATTGGACAAGGCGGAGAGTGATTTGATTTTGGGATATTTGTACGATGTTTTTGAAAAGAATGTAGATATCCAGGTCAGAGTCAGATGGACTGCTGGGACGAGTGCTATTTGGGTAAGCTTTTTCAGAGGACTTTTCAGTCTTATCCCAACTGAAATCGATATTGACAATGAAGGGGAAATAAGCGAATAGATGCTAATGATTTGAACAGGATAACAGAAGTACGATTCATAACGCGAGCTGGGATTATGAGGGAACTGAAGAGAGACATGGGACGAGAGTTACTAGCTTGGCAGAAAAGCCTTACTATGAAGAGGGAGCAAAGTCTAGAAGGGAGGCTTTGGGATTGAATGATGATTAGATTGATTTGAAGTGGGAAGTGTTTTGAACGATCTTTTAGGTTATCAGCTTAGACTTGTAGGTAAAAGATCGTTGAGTAAATTACCAGGTAGCTAAATTGATCAATAAACAAGCACATTAGATAAGATGAATCCCGCAAAGCTTATCTCGTGTAATGTTGAATTGGACGCCGGGACAACCCTACTTAAAACATGATTGGACTCCACTTGAAGAAACGTGATGGTTACTCTTTTGGGTACGAATACAGCGACCGCCCGCTAGTTATGACAAACAATGGCCCTGCGGTGATCATTTTTTAACGGCGTGGTGCCATCAACATCTGTCATGAAAGAATATTTGAGACCACAAACTACTCTCCCAATGTATCAAACATCTGACACGTACAATCTGGTATGAAAAGTAGACAAGCTCCTTGTTAATTGGACGGTGAAGAGACGAAGATGTACAAGCGGGGTGTTCTAAGGAGATATCTTAAATCCATCCGAATCAACGACATTCACCGCTTCTTGTATGAAAGAAGATTATTAATTACTACGAGTTGGGAAGGTGAAGAGGAGAGAAATAACCTCCGGGCCGTATGTATCACGTGATGATGTGTTTCGTGTTTGACTTCCTTTCTTCTTTTGTTTCACACGGATACGACAAATTGTGTATCTTAAATTGTCAGATGAAGGAAATCAACGGGTCATACAGCATAATGAAGAAGATTGATGAGTCAATATTTGAAATAAGTGGTTGTTGGATTGTATTGCAACGCATTGAAGATGCTTGGCTGATCTAGGCACTTGAGATGGAGATTCGAGGTCCCGATGTCCGATCTTGATAATCTGGGGAAAGAACGGTCTTGTCAGTTGTCCGGCTTGAAGAGGCGTCGAGTAGGCAAAGGTGTATATCAAACAGAGCGGATGCATTCAGCCACTTTAGGTTAGAGTTTGCAATGAGGAAATGCTAGAGAAATGCTAGAGAAATGCTTATATTGAAGATCACCGATGCGGCATAGGTGAGATTGGACCGGCGTGTTTGCTCCCGTTCACTAACTACACGGTACTGGTGGTACTCCGTATTTGATGATTGATTAAGAATCAAGATCGAATGAGCTTGGACTTTGAAGGTAATGGAAGGTTCAGTAACAAACTCCATGAAAAAAACTCTATTAGATGAATTCCGTAGGTAACAGTGGAACGGCATCAGATTAGCTTTTTTCTAAGGTTAAGCGACGGGTGGATCTTGATGGAGCCGGAATGCTTCTTTTGTGTGGAGCCGCTCTTATCACCTATTTCGTATGCTTTTCGGCAACACAGATGAACGGACAGAATACAATAATGATCCTCCATTGACTGACCTACGGAAGAGAAAGATTGTGTTTGGGTCTTCGACCGTCCCGCTTGAGCTTTTCGGGGCCGACTCTCCTCAACAAGATGAAAAGAAAATATATAATGTATAACTTACTAGGTAGATATCATATACATCATCGTGTATATGACTAACTGCTCACATCTACATCACATATTGAAGAATTGACCAATGAGTCTACATACTCGGGTATTATCTCGGTATTCATAAACGCCGATTGGTTCACGCACCTCCACTCATACATTCTTTTCCTCACCTACGGTCCCGGAGTAGGTTCCTTCGGTTCCTTCTTTGAAATGAGGTGGGCGTAACGTATAGTATTGGTAATCCGCGTAAAGATGGATGGATCTATTACGCTAATACTCTGGAAGGGAAAAAAGCATGCCACTGGTGCTCCCATATATCTTTTGCCCATGTAAATTTGCACTGATTACCTATCATATCCTTGTCTAGGTCCAATTGGAAAGATGCTAGCCTCTGATCGCACTCGGAGGCGACCACCGAATTATTGATAAGATGCACGGTTTCCCCTCGATACCATTTTGTTTTGCGATTTGTGATCTCCCATACAATATATCTTCTTGACGCACCTGTTACCAAGAAGCTTCAACATGGCAGATCCGCCTGGTCACGAGAAAGAATTCGCCCCGTCGGACCCTGCAGCTGCATTGGAAGATATCAATCATGCCGAACCACGAGATGAAGATGGATCTGATAGGGAGTATCTGGAAAAGCATGGGGAACTATCAACTCATCAAAATTCACTCGATGCCGGGAGTCGTGAGAAGGAATATATGGAAATCTCGAGTCCAAACAATGTGGATAGCCACTCATCCGAAGGCGAAATCGACCATGAAAAAAGACCAGAAATGAAACAGGCTCAAAGCTATGCCACATCTAACAGTGCTATGACGAGGGCAGAATCGCATGTAGATGATGCTATTGTCAAGAAGACCTGGTACAATCCATTGAGGTGGAGTGCCCCTCCTCCCGTTCCAGAAAGTCGGACACCGTCCAAAGAACACACAGCTTCCTTCTTCTCTTTACTATACTTTCAATGGATGGCACCTATAATGGATGTGAGTCCTCATTCTGAACTCATTTGAGCGCCTGTGATGCTGATGTTCTCTAGGCTGGTTATCGACGGCAACTCGAGCATAACGATATATGGACGGTGAACCCCAGTCGAAGTGTAGACCTGTTATCGGACAAGTTACAAGCATCTTTCAAGAGAAGAGTGGCGAATGGAGAAAAACACCCTCTGCTATGGGCAATGCACGAAACCTTTAAGTTTGAGTTTTGGGTAGGAGGAGCTTGCCAATTTATATCCAACATCCTCCAAGTCATATCGCCATTCACATTACGATACTTGATCACTTTTGCTTCGGACGCATACATAGCAGCAAAAGAAGGATCTCCAGCGCCTAATATTGGAAGAGGACTAGGACTTGTGTTTGGTATCACTATAATGCAGATGTTGCAATCCCTAGGCACCAATCATTTTATATATCGCGGAATGATGGTTGGGGGGCAATCGAGAGCCGTCCTTATTTCAGCTATTTTCGAAAAGGCCATGAAGATCTCTGGACGAGCCAAGGCTGGCGGTCGTTCCATCAAAAGCCAAGAAGACGAGAAGGATGCACAAAAAGCTCAAGATCTAGTTGAACAAGCCAAAGGCAAGAAAGGCAAGAAGAATTCCAAACCAGTTGGTCCCAAAGGTGGAGTACCAGATGCTGGACGCGGTGTAGCAGGTGATGGCACTGGATGGGCAAATGGGTAAGTTCAAGTCCTTCACTCGACCTATCGAGCATAACAGAATTTTTCTGACTTCGTGTTTCGTTTCCCTCTTAACTTGATACTTACATCTTTGGAATTTTAGTAAAATTGTAAATCTCATGAGTACAGATACGTACCGTGTAGATCAAGCCAGCGGCATGTTCCACTTGATCTGGACAGCACCTATATCTTGCATTATCACTCTCATACTGCTCCTCATCAATTTGACCTACAGCGCCCTTGCAGGGTTCGGACTGCTAGTCGTTGGGCTCCCCTTATTGACTAAGGCTGTTAAGAGACTGTTTGCGAGAAGAAAGGCAATCAACAAGATCACTGATCAAAGAGTAAGTCTCACACAAGAAATTCTTCAGGCAGTGCGATTTGTGAAGTACTTCGGCTGGGAGACAGCATTCCTTGATAGACTTGCTGCAATCAGGAACAAGGAGATTCGCTCCATTCAGATCTTGCTGGCGATCAGAAACGCCATCAATGCTGTCTCCATGACTATGCCCATCTTTGCGTCGATGATAGCTTTTATCACCTACAGTTTGACAGATCACGGATTAAGTCCAGCACGTGTATTCTCGTCGCTTGCTCTATTCAACTCATTGCGATTGCCGCTAAATCTATTGCCTATGGTCATCGGGCAGGTTATTGATGCCTGGTCGTCAATCTATCGTATTCAAGAATTCTTACTCAGTGAAGAGCAAGAGGATGATGCGAAGCCAGACCACGAACTAGAAGGAGCAATAGTCTTGAAAGGCGCCGATTTTACTTGGGAACGAACAGCTACTCAAGATTCGGAAAAGGCCGGGCCTCCTGGAAAGAAGCAGACGAAGGCTGAGGTTAAATTTGAAAAGAATGCCAAGAAACAAGCATCCAAGGATGAAAAAGTCGCTGATAAATCTCGGTCAGATTCCTCTCCAATCGACAAGGATATTCCAAGCAACGACGGCACACCTCTCGATGATGCAAGCACTGTCAATGGAGATGAAGAACCATTCAGCTTACAGAATATGAATTTCACAATTGGCAGGAATGAGCTGGTAGCTGTAATAGGTGGAGTTGGAAGCGGTAAAAGTTCTCTGCTTGCTGCTCTCGCAGGTGACATGCGGAAAACAAGAGGAGAAATGACTATGGGAGCTGATCGAGCTTTCTGCCCACAATATGCATGGATACAGAATGCGACCGTCAGAGACAACATATTGTTCGGAAAAGAAATGAAAAAATCGTGGTACAACAAAGTCATTGATTCTTGTGCCTTGAGACCCGATTTGGACATGCTCCCGAACGGCGATCAGACCGAAATCGGCGAGAGAGGTATCACTGTATCAGGAGGTCAGAAGCAAAGGATGAATATTGCACGAGCCATCTATTTTGATGCTGACTTGATTTTAATGGATGATCCGTTAAGCGCGGTCGATGCACACGTTGGTCGTCATATTTTTGACAACGCAATCATGGGCTTATTGAAGGATAAAGCTAGAATTTTAGCCACTCATCAACTATGGGTACTGAATCGTTGCGATAGGATCATATGGATGGAAGAAGGCAAAATTCAAGCAATTGACACGTTCAGCAATCTCATGAACAACCATGCTGGCTTTCAACAGCTCATGGAGACAACCGCAGTAGAAGAATCACAAGAGCCAGAGGCTGAGGAAGAAGTTGTCGAAGTGGAGAAGAAGGTTGAGAAAAAGAAGCATAAAGCGCCTGGTTTGATGCAAGCAGAGGAGAGATCCGTCAAGAGCGTTTCATGGACAGTATACGCCGATTACGTCCGGGCTTCCGGTAGTCTCTTAAACGCACCGATCGTTGTATTGCTACTCCTCCTTTCGCAAGGTGCAAATATCGCCACTAGCTTGTGGTTAT